AACTGAATCAGATGCCAGGGGCCAGAGAGGGCAGAGCGGGCTGGAGAGAGAGCACAAGTGGGTAGGGCTTTTACCTTGCATGTGGGTCACCAGGTTCAATCCCTGGCACTTTCTATGGTTCCCTGAGCCCATCAGGAGTGATTCCTAAGAGCCAGGAGTAAGTCCTAAGCATCCTAGGCACTGCTGGGTGTGGCCCAAAAAAAAAAGAAAAACCAGAACAAGGGTAAAGGGCACCACCTCTGAGACCAGGCTGCCTGCATTTGGGGGCCAAGTGCAGTGAAAGGTAAATATTAATGTCATCCATCACAGAGGTCACTGCTGCAAAGTGAAAATGTCATCACAGCTCTCAGATACTAAGAGTGATGGCGAGAGTGGTATGGTGGGGTAGCAACATTTGAGGAAATGGCTCCGTCTGTTGGCTGGAGAGAGAGGATAGGGGAGGGCACTGGCCTTGCACATAGCCAACCTGGGGTCAATCCCTGGCATTCTATATGGTTCCCCAAGCCGACCAGACATGCATGAGCCCTGTGTTCAGAGCCAGAAGTAAAACCTAGACACAACTGGGTGTGTGTTGTTTTGTGTGTGTGTGTGTATGTGTGTTTCCCAAACAACAAAAACCAAATAAATAAACCTTTCCACAATCTCTCTTCTCTCTCTCTCTCTCTCTCTCTCTCTCTCTCTCTCTCTCTCTCTCTCTGAAGAAGGCTGGAGAACATTCTTGTGGTTTTCCACCTCAGTGCAGGGACAATAAGATCCCTTGGGACTGAACAATCCCCACTGCCCAGGCTGTCCCTAACACTGACTCAGCCTTAGATCACAAGTGTAACCAAGGGTGCAACTCGTCCTTCGGTTCCCATCTTCCTGTTTCAGAGTGAAGCTTCTGGGACTCAGACAGGGAGAGCAGGTGGCTAAAAGTCACACGGCACTCTAGCCGGGTTTCCTGGGATTCCAGACCTCCTCCTCCTTGGTGGTGCTGGGAGGGCTGGTCTCCTAACAAGCTCTAGGCTGGTCCAGGTCCTCCGCTCCCAGGGAAGCCAGGATGGTCTCTGGGATGGCCATCGTGGCCATCGCAAGATTCCTGGGTGGGCCGGGTTTAAGGACCCGCGTCCTGCCCGCAGTGGCCTGCACGGCAGAGGCGTCCCTTGCGGGACTGGCCCCTCCGAGCCCGGAGCGCGAGGCTGAGAATGGGGAAGTCCCGGCGCTCTTCTCCGCGAAGGGCTAAGGGGGCGTCGGAGCAGCCCCCGCAAGCTTCCGGATCCGAGAAACAAGCGGCAGCTCTGAAAAGCAGGTTCCCCGCCGCAGCTGCGACCAAGGCAGGTTGGGGGTCTCCAGGCGCGCGAGCGGGCGCGCGAGCGAGCGCGCGCGCGCGCGCACTGGGGAAAGGAAAAACTACGCCGCGTCCTCCCGGCGGGGATCCCGGGGAGGAAAACTCTGCAGGACCAGAGGCAAGCAGGTGCCCAGATGCAATCATTAGATCTCCCCCCCTCCACACACACACACACACACACAAAGCCCGCCACCATCCCCGGGAGCTGCTGACCCGGACTGTCCCTCTTCTCTTCACCCCACCCCGCGCGCCCCAGCTCTAGGTGTGCGCCCCGTCGGGGAGGAGGGGGTCTGAGCACCGTCTCTGGTGCTCAGAAAGGGTCCCGGGCAGCAGGGCCCAGCGACCGGCCACTTCCTGCCATGGGGGAGGGAACACAGACTCCGAGCGTCCGAGGGGCGGGCAGGGGCGCACGCGCTGCACGGCCGAGCCAAGTTTCTGATCACATCAGTGGTGGCTTTCTGGTCACCAGGGGCAGCGGTATTGCACCCCCGCGGCTAGAGAGCCGGCGCTCTGCAGGCCGAGGGGCGGGGAGTGGCCCCCGAGCGGCCGGGGAGGAGCGAGCATGTCACTTCCCGCAAGTCTGGGGGGCCTCCCGCTGGGGACCCGCGGAGCGCTGGGGCCCTGGCCCGCCCACCCCGCCCGGTGCCTGGGGTTTGCCCAGGCTCTGCGGAGCAGGGTTTACAGTAAATGTTGACACCAGTGGAAACTCTCAGAAGGGGCGAGGACAAGGGCGAGAAGAAGGGACCGGGACTGCAAGCCCCAGTTCCCGTCTTCCCAACGCCCCCCAGCAGTCTCTCTGGCCTTTCGGTAAAGAGGGGCTGCCCTGCTTCGGGGAGATGCCTGGAACCCCGAGCGGAAGGTGAGCGTGCGCGCCACGGCCGGGCCACCAACAGCCTCTGACTCCGCCTCCTGGGCGCTGGCACCCAGCTTCCGCCCCGAAGGGAGGGGCTTCCTTCTGACTGACCTCGGGGTCCTTCTCTGGCCCACTGAAGCTAAAAAGGGTCTCATCGAACCCGGAAAGGACAGATGAGACCCTGTTTAGATAGCACAGCGGGTAGGGCGTTTGCCTTGCACGCGGCCAACCCGGATTCGATTCCCAGCATCCCATATGGTTCCCTGAGCATCACCGGGATTAATTTCTGAGTCCAAAGCCAGGAGTAACATCCCCCACACACACACACCCTACCCCGGTGCATCGCCGGGTGTGACTCAAAAAACCAAGCGGGTGGAAGCTGGCTGGGCGGAGAAGGTCCCATCTTCAGCTTTAAAAGAAGACCCCCTTTCCCGCCAGGGAGAGAATACAGCGAATAGGGAGCTTGTCTGGCACTCATCCAACCCCTTCCATTTCCTGGCTGCTCGTATGGTCCCCAGAGCACTGCCAGGAGTGATCCTTGTAGTGCAGAGTTGGGAGTAACCTCTGAGCATCCCTGGCTGTGGTCCAAAACCAAACCAAAAAATAGAGCCCATAGGAGCTGGAGGGAGTGTCAAAGGACTGAGCGTTCACTTTGCATGTCAGGGCCCAGCTTCCATCCCCAGCGCTGCATAGTCCCCCAGCACAGAGCCTGAAGGAGAGTCAGGAGTGACTCTCCACCCCCAGCACTGTTGGGTGGGGGCCAAAAGGTAAAACAAAACAAAAAGTCCAGGAGCGCCCAGGTGTCAACATTAGGGGAAATAACAGCCCGCTTAACCAGCTCTCAAATTAACAGCAGCTCAGGCTCCTCCTGGATTTTTGTTAAGGCAAATTTTACTGTTAAGTGTCCTTAGATGCTACTAGATATTTTTTGATTCAACTTCAAAAGCTACTGATGTTACCTATCAATCAACAAAGAGTTGAGTTCATAGCATATGCCGGGCACTTCATAAGTGCTTGGGTGGGGAGCCGATAGTGAGCACAGCAGTTAAGACACTGGCCTTGCATGCCGCTCACCCGGTTCAAATTTTCAGCACCATATAGAATTCTCTGAATATCACCAGGATCGATCCCTGAATGCAGAGCCGGGAATAAGGCCAGAGCACAGCTGGGTGTGGATTGAAAACTGCCCAAAATGAATGCTTAGATAATTGAATCCTGATTCTTTTGGGCTTTGTTTTGGGCCACTCACAGCTGTGCTCAGGGATCACTCCTGGTGAGGCTCAGGGGACTATATGGTGTGCCAGTGATTGAACCTGGGTCAGGTGCGTGCAAGGCAAGCTCCTTCACTGCTGAACTATCTCTATGGCCCCTTAATCTGTTTGTTTGTTTTTTTTTTCTCAAAGTTTCAAAGATTCATTAGAATCATCGAATCATCTGGAACATTTGTTTGATATTAAAATTCCTAGAACTTACCCAAAATTCCAAACCCACTGAGTTCCAAATCTTCTTGATTTCAGAAAGGGACTCAAACTGTATTTTTAACTGAAACTCAAATGCATTCTGATACACCGGCAACTTTGGAAAATGACCCAAGTCAAATACAACATGAAAAATAAGACCTATTCTTCAAATACTAGGTTGCTTTTCAGCTGAAATATATTTGCAACTCCAGCGTTAACACCCTTTCCCTATGGGCACCAGTGGTTGGCAGCAAGGATCTGTTTTAAAGAAACTGAATCTTAAAATCACCTGGGAGTGCCCGGACAGAGCACTAGTACAGCAGGTGAAGTGCTTGCCTGGTACACAGCCAACCCAGGTTTGATCCCCAGCATCCCACAGGAACCCTCAAGCACTGCCATGAATAATTCTTGAGTGCAGAGCTAGGAGAAAGCCCTAAGCAACACCGGGTAGGGCTCAGATGACACCCCCCCTTAAATTACATGGTAAAGGTGATCCCCCTGGCTTGCTCAAGGTGGGCTCACTTCCAGTCAACACTTGCTACCCAGAGTGCAATAGTGTCTTAATTAGTCCTGTGGCCAGTACCTGGCACTCTTTCCCTGGACATCTTTTGGTTTGGGTCTATTCTCTGGCTTTCCTAAGCCACAGGGAAATGTTAGTCGCGGGTTGGGGGGAGTTTCCAGGTGCTTGGGATGTCCCCAAAATGTTAGAAAGCAGAGCTTGGAGAATATGGAGCGAGTGGAATGGAATACTGTGGTTTTGGACTGTTTCCTATTTATTGAAGGCCCTAAACGTTCTGGAACCCAAGTAAAGCCATCAGATTCTGTAAGAATAGGACCCCATCAAAAAAAAAAAAAAAAAGAACAGGACCCCGGCAGAATGCGTACATCAGGAGACGGAGTTGAGATGAGGGAGATCATTGCAGACGCTGGCCCACCAGATTCCCTTGCAGCCCTTGGCCACCCTGGTCGGAGGCCCTGGGAGGCCAGTGCGCAGGCTCCTGCGTGCCAGTGCGCAGGTTTCAGCGTGCCCGGAGAGTGCCTCTGGTTGCGCACCGCGGCTGCTCCCACCCCACTCGCTTACGCGTTCACGCGGGCACTGCTGGGAGGTGATGCGCGAAACTGCTGTTCTAGCAGCTCAGGAAACGCGTGTGGCTCAGCGCGGTGGTTCCACAGGGACATGTGGGCACCCCCCCCCCGCCCCCTACAAATGAAAGTGTGCCCGCTCATGTGTGCGGAGAGCCTGCTGGGTGCCTTTCTGCACAGCTGTGCGCCCGGAAACTCACCCCGCTGGACTCCCGCTGCCCGCTTCCTCCGGCCCCGAGGCCTTAACTTAATGCAGTGCCCATCCCTCACCTCACAGGAGAGCGAAGACCTGGAGAAACAGAACGCGGCCCTGCGCAAGGAGATCAAGCAGCTCACGGAGGAGATGAAGTACTTCACGTCGGTGCTGAACAGCCACGAGCCCCTGTGCTCTGTGCTCACCCCGAGCACGCCCTCGCCCCCCGAGGTGGTGTACAGCACCCACCCCTTCCACCAGCCTCACCTCAGCGCCCCACGCTTCCAGCCCTGAGCTTGCAGAGGTGGGGGAGAGCGGAGCCCCTGACCACCGCCCAGCGGGCCCGGCGGCCTCCGGAGGGGCGGGCGCACAGACTGTGGTCCGGCCACGCCTCACCCCTGGGACCGGCCACACCTCACCCCTGGGACCGGCTCTCCTGCCTGGAGTCTCTGAAGCTCAGGCCCACCCCAGGAGGAGGGCACCCTGGACTGAAGCTGCTATGAGTGGGTGCAGCCCTCCGGGAGCCCCCAAAACCTGCCTACGTGTGCTGGAACCCTGGGTGGGTGGGGGTCCCCATTCGGGGTAGAATCATGCTTCACGCCCAAGGCCCTTGGAACAGAGGGAGGAAGGAAGGGAAGGTTTATTTTTCTAAATAAATGTCTTTAAAGAAACCAACTTGTCAAGGCTCACACTTTCCCCCTGGAGACCTGTAAGATGGGAACCATGCACGTGAGTGTTAGTGGCGTTCTGTGGGGTGTGGTCTTCCTGATACGGGGCCTCCCAAGTCCTTCCTGCTCCAGGCAGTCCCGCTGAGCTCTTTGCTTCTCCAGGGCTTGTCCATCTGCCCGGGAAACTGGGTTCCCTTTCAAAGGTAAGGGCCTTCAACACTTCGCAGCACCTTCTTGGCTTTCTGTCTTCTTGTTCTTTCAACTTTTTAGGCCATATCCAAACAGTGCTCAGGGCTTACTCCTGAAAGTGCTCAGTATTGAGGGTGCTGAAGATTAGAGCCCTGGTCAGCTGCATGTGAGGCCAGCACCGAGCATATTGTGCACCGAATGTGTTGTTCTATCTCTCTGGCCTACCTTCTTAGTTTTCTACCCCAGATACCTCACCGGGTCCTACCACTTCTGCTCCCGTTTTTCGGGGGGTGGGGCGGGTGGGGGTTGAGTCACACCTGGTGATGCTCGAGATTTATTCGTGCCTCGGTGCTCAGGGATCACTCCTGGTGGGGCTCCAGGGACCATAGGCAGTGCCAGAGATTGAACTCGGGTTGCCCATGTGCACGGTAAGTTGTCCTAACTACTGTCCAGCTCCCACTTCTGCTCCTGGCTGCCTCATGCTTTGGGGGTCGCTTGCAGTCACATTCTAGAAGGGGAAGGACCCTGGAGTGGTAGCTCAAGGGGGTCCTCTCTCTTGAGCCCGTCTCCAGTCTCCAACAGCCCTATCGGCTCCAACACAGGGACTTGTGCCGACAAAGTCGGGACTTGCTCTGTGCTCTCCAGGGGCAGCGTGTGACTTAGGTCCTAAGTGACCTTCCTGTCACTGTCCATGAGCATCCCGCTGCAGATGCACCTCTCTGGGGAAGTAGTGATGAAGCTGGACCAAAGGTTGCTGTCCGTGAGCTGCCCTATGAAGCAGTTGGATGGCAGCTCTGCTTACAGGATCACCTTCGGAGCATCGCGTTCACAAGAATGAGGCTGGGGTGTCAGTGGTAGAACATGTGCTCGGCACATAGACGGCAGAGAAAGAGAGAGCACAGTGGGTAGGGTGTTTGTCCTGCATGTGGCTGACCTGGGTTCAATCCCCAGAATCCCATATGGTTCCCTGAGCACTGCCAGGAGGAATTCCTGAGTGCAGAGCCAGGAGTAACCCCTTAGCATCACTGGGTGTCACTGCTCCCTTCCTCAAAAAATTACATTAAAAAAATTCAAAAACCGAGCTGGAGCAATAGCACAGCAGGGAGGGCATTTGCCTTGCTAGCAGCTGACCCAGGTTCAATTACCAGAATCCCCTATGGTCCCCTGAGCACCGCCAGGAGTAATTTTTGAGTGCAAAGCCAGGAGTAACCCCTGTGCATTGCTGGGTGTGACCCAAAAATAAAAAAAAATTCAAAAACCAAAGAAAGCCCCGTTCAGTTTTTACAGAGCCTGGTTTGGGGAGCTAACCCCATCTCTGGGTTTCTGGGTGCCATCGGTCACTGTGGACCTTGCAGAGTACAGAAGTTGTTTTTCTTTCACTGAGGAGCAGAACTTCCCGTTCCCCTGGGGCCAGTTCTGTCTGGGCCTGGCCCCTCAGGGAAGCTAGGGAGGCTTCTCTGCAACCAGAGTTTTCTCTCCTCCCCCCACCCCTCCAACGCTCTGATTTTCCCCGAGAAACTCCCCCAGAAGGTATATGATGACTAGGGGTGGGGGGTTGGGAAGGGTGTTTGGGACACACATACACACACACACATACACGCATGTGCACACACACTCACAGACACACACACACATCTCCAGGGTCCAGCCACCAACACTCACGTGCGTGGTTCCCATCTCTCGGGAACTCCTCTTCCCCTTTTTGTCTGCACTTTCTAATGAGCCCACACTTCCACTTCCTCTTTCTGGGCAGCCTGGTCCAAGCAGCAGAAGGCTCAGCTTCAGTGAGTGCCAGCCTCATGCCCACATGGGAAACTGGGCACACAGCTGTGAACTGAGATTTGAACTTTCAGACCTTTGTCCGTGGGTGGTCCACGGTCCATATCAGAGCCGGGGTGTCCCATCACCCTCCTCCACCCTCCAGGCAGGCTCTGGAGCTCCCTGGGGGAACTGGGGAGTGGTGTGTGTTTGTGTGTGTGTGTGTGTGTGTGTGTGTGTGTGTGTGCATAGCACAGCAGACCTAGGAGTAAGGAATTGCCCACCTGGAGCTGGCAGTTACCCTGAGTTCTAGCCCAGGGTCCGCCGAGCTTCCAGTTCACCAAGAAAATCCAAATGCAGAATTTCAACATGAAACCTCCCAACTTTTTTTTTTTTTTTGCTTTTTTGGGTCACACCCGGCGATGCTCAGGGGTTATTCCTGCTTCTGCACTCAGGAATTACTCCTGGCGGTGCTCAAGGGACCATATGGGATGCTGGGAATCAAACCCGGGTTGGCTGTGTGCAAGGCAAACTCCCTACCCGCTGCTATCACTCCAGCCCCAAAACCTCCCAACTTTTAAGAACCCTGTAGTCCAAGTGAAATCTACTTATGGATCAGGTTGGACCCAGACTTTTGCAGGGCGGCCTGGGGCAGGGGCAGGACAAGAGGACAAGCAGAGGTCATAGGCATATACAGTCGAAATAGTCACATGATAGGGGCTGGAGAGATAGCATAGCGGGTAGGGTGTTTGCCTTGCACGCGGCCGACCCGGGTTCAATTCCCAGCATCCCATATGGTCCCCTGAGCACCGCCAGGAGTAACTCCTGAGTGCAGAGTCAGGAGTAACCCCTGTGCATTGCCGGGTGTGACCCAAAAAACAAAAAAAATAGTCACATGATATAGGTCAAGACTGCAAATATTTTCAGCCGGATAAACAACATCCATGCTCTTCCCAGACTCCCACCCATGCATCTTTGTCACAGCCCTGGAGGTGGGAAGTTTCTGAGGCAGCTCTGGGAGACAGCACCCTGGGACTGAGCCTGGCCTCTTCCACTCTCACTGGGGCTCATGCTCACAGGGCGGAGAGCCCAGCTGGCAAGTGGGGAGGGACACCTCATCCTCTCTTCCCCGGCAGCCTGGGCCTTCCTTTGGGTCAGGGAGTGGTCCCCAGGGGAGGGAGAGGGCAGACACCTGTGGAAGCAGGTTGGGGTGACTCTCTGGATGAGTGTTTCCTGATGTCCTGGTGGAGGGAGCACTGGAAAATGGGAGGAAGGGGCCGGAGCGACAGTACAGCGGGTCACGTGCTTGCCTTGCATGTGGCTGACCCAGGTTTGATCCCCAATACCCCATGTGGTCCTCTGAGCCTGCCAGGAGTGATCCCTGAGCTCAGAGCCAGGAATAAGTCCTGAGTCCCACTGGGTGTGGCCTCCCCTCATCTACCCCCACCTAAAAATTAAAAAAGAAAAGGGGGAGGAAGGGCTGGAGAGAGAGTACAGGTAAAGTGAATGCTTCTCATTTGACACACCTGTTTCTTTCCTGGCACCACAGGGTCCTCTGAGCATCATCAGCTGCATCCCTGGAGCCTCTCCTCCCTCCCCAGCACCTCTGGGTATGACCCTGGAGGCCCCTGAGCACCACTGGGGCAGCCTGGGTCATGCCACGTACCAAGGGCCCCAGTACTACCACAACCGCAGGCCCTCATAGTGGTCCCATTGGAATCCCTGGGAGCAGGCGCTGTGTCTCCTGAGCACATTTTGGGAGGCCTGTAAAATATAATATAATATAAAAGCCAGGCTGGAGTGATAGCACAGCGGGTAGGGCATTCGCCTTGCACACAGCCAACATGGCTGACCCAAGTTCGATTCCTCTGCTCCTCTCGGAGAGCTTGGCAAGCTGCCAATAGTATCTCACCCGCATGGCAAAGCCTGGCAAGCTACCCATGACGTATTCAATATGCCAAACACAGTAACAAGTCTCACAATGTTACTGGGCTTGCTCGAGCAAATCGATGAACAACAGGAGGAGCGTGACCGTGATATAAAAGCCAGACCGGGGGGGGGGGGGGGGGGAGAGATAGCACTGCAGAACTATCAAGGGTAGTTTCCTTGCACCTAAACAAACTGACACTACATATGGTCCCTGAGGCCCTCCAGGAGTGATCCCTGAAGAACAGGGCCAGAAATAAGCCCTGAGCACTGCTGAGTATGAAGAAGGAAAGGAAGGAAGGAAGGAAGGAAGGAAGGAAGGAAGGAAGGAAGGAAGGAAGGAAGGAAGGGAAGAAGGAAGGAAGGAAGGAAGGAAGGGAGGGAGGGAAGGAGGGAGGAAGAAAGAAAGAAAGAAAGAAAGAAAGAAAGAAAGAAAGAAAGAAAGAAAGAAAGAGGGGAGAGACAGGACACCACAGTGCCGGAGATCTGAGCCAATTTCACGGGGGCAACCCAGACAGAGCCCAGACGGAGCAGGAGCAGTCTCCCCTCCTATTCCAGATGGAATCCCGGTGACCAAGAGCTTACAAGTAAGGACCAGGATGTGGGTTCCAGGACTAAGTCTCCAAGCCACATGGCAGCAGCGGACCTGGGCAGTCCTTTCCTGGCTCCCCACCAGCTCCTAATGCCAGATGTCACGCCCACAACCTGCCTCCTGGCGCCATCTTCCACACCAACAGAAACTCCTAATTGAATCCCAAAATGGATTAGCTCCCTACAGAGATGTCTCTTGAATGGAACCATTTACAATCTTAGAATTTCAGAGGCCGCGCAACCTCTCATGATGTGGAAA